TCCATCATATATCTTTTGGGAGTTGATGAGCTTAACTTGAGCATGTTTTGCTTTTAGTTAGCGGACATTCTTGGACAAGATACAACTATAGGACAGTGGCCAATTTTTTTAGCTACCAGAATAATAGTTTCACACGTAGTAGATTAACACCGTTACATGTAACAGTCTAACCTTGTTACATGCAAATGGCTAACCATGTTCCATACAACAGTCTAATTTTGTTACATATAATTGGCTACATGTGACATACAACAGTCTAACATTGCTACATGCAAAAGTCTAGCAACCAAGCTTAATTATATGTTCGGCCGTGACAAAATAAATCCGAGAATGTGTCATATGTAACACGCTGCAACACATTTAGACTAGGAAAATATGCAGCATGATGTGTAACACATACACACGACTGGCATGCCCACACTACACATCAAATGTCTGATTTTGTTGTCGTGGGCTGAATGACATCGTGTGTAAACCACAATTACAGGAGGAAAGCCGGAGGATATAAACATGCTCTGGTGTAGTGGGGGCTAGCCAAAATATTTGCTGTCAATAAATCCTATTTGACTTGACATTATCACAAGCTAGGCAGGTTGTATACAGAGAAAACAGCTTCTTGAGGCTGGATTGTCCCCTGTGTTGGTTCTGCCTGACAGGGAAGTATGATTAGACAACAGATACATTTCACAAAATGTCGTATCAATCCAATGGAATGTTGGCCATTGTATTCACACTCACGCTGTTTAAGTAACGTGAAGGTTAGAAAATAAAAACAATATAAACAGAATATTATAAATGTGATATTAATGGAAGTAAAAGTAGTTCAGTTACCATTTCGTACCTCGCGATTCATTGGACAAGTGAAGTCGAGTTCGCATGTCTCTGTGACCTCGGCGTCATATATAGTGATAGTGTTGTCACCGGCCTTTAAATTCCCTAACGTCAGTCAGGTGGCCATCAGATCTGGGTGGACAGTGAGTCAGGTACCCACCAGAACTGGGTGGACTCATTGAGTCAGGTACCCATCAGAACTGGGTGGACAGTGAGTCAGGTACCCACCAGAACTGGGTGGACTCAGTGAGTCAGGTACCCACCAGAACTGGGTGGACTCATTGAGTCAGGTACCCACCAGAACTGAATGGACTCAGTGAGTCAGGTACCCATCAGAACTGGGTGGACAGTGAGTCAGGTACCCACCAGAACTGGGTGGACTCAGTGAATCAGGTACCCACCAGAACTGGGTGGACAGTGAGTCAGGTACCCACCAGAACTGGGTGGAGTTGATGAGTCAGGTACCCATCAGAACTGGGTGGACAATGAGTCAGGTACCCACCAGAACTGGGTGGGCAATGAGTCAGGTACCCACCAGAACTGGGTGGACTCAGTGAGTCAGGTACCCACCAGAACTGGGTGGACTCAGTGAGTCAGGTACCCATCAGAACTGGGTGGACAGTGAGTCAGGTACCCACCAGAACTGGGTGGACTCAGTGAATCAGGTACCCACCAGAACTGGGTGGGCAATGAGTCAGGTACCCACCAGAACTGGGTGGACTGTGAGTCAGGTACCCACCAGAACTGGGTGGAATTGATGAGTCAGGTACCCATCAGAACTGGGTGGACAGTGAGCCAGGTACCCACCAGAACTGGGTGGACTCAGTGAATCAGGTACCCACCAGAACTGGGTGGACAGTGAGTCAGGTACCCACCAGAACTGGGTGGAATTGATGAGTCAGGTACCCATCAGAACTGGGTGGGCAATGAGTCAGGTACCCACCAGAACTGGGTGGAATTGATGAGTCAGGTACCCACCAGAACTGGGTGGGCAATGAGTCAGGTACCCACCAGAACTGGGTGGGCAATGAGTCAGGTACCCACCAGAACTGGGTGGACTCAGTGAGTCAGGTACCCACCAGAACCGAATGGACGCGAGACGTTCTAGGTACACGAGTTAAGCATCCCCGAACATTCAGGTAGGCAATCGTGTGCTCTACCCACCTACCACACCATCCCATAACGTACCAGTGACAACTATTGTTTAAAAATACACGTTTACGAGATAAACGTACCCCAAAACAAACACTAATAAAATATTGGTGAAGATAAATATTTATATATCAACTTTCTATTAAAAGTTAAGAATATCAAATAAACATTGCTAAGAAAAAAGTCTGTTATCAATGAGAATTCCTTTAATATCTTAGAGCATGCATTGACAATAAAAACGTCTGTATAGCAAGTTACTAGGGATAAACAAGGCCTCAATACTTTGTATGAGCAGATCATTGAAATGCGGCGGAATTTAATTTAGCCAAGCAAATAGTGTCATATTTTCATCAAAGGACCTGGCCAAAAGAGGCCCCCACTGAGTAAGTCACTACAAGAGTAGGGTTTCATTTAATCGTGGGGGTACCTGCGTGCTCTGGTCACCACACGCAGAGGTTAGGAAAGACAAGAGGAAATAAGCCCCCCCCCCACACACACACATAGCCAAGCGCTTTGAGGGGGGGGGGGGGAGACAAAGGAGAAATAATGACAAGAGGAACTAAGCAATTCTACAGTATCCAGAGTATGCATTTAAACTGTCCGTACGTAAATATAATTAAAGCTCTATCATAGCTTTCAATCACCCGCCACTGATCGAACATAAATTATATTGTCTAGTGTTTTGTAAAACTTATCATACCGAAAGTTTAGAAATTCAAGAATATGTATGCTTATAATTTGAAGATGATTAGCTGCAGTGTTTTTTCCAGACTTTTTTCTCCGGGGGTGCACTTGAAATTTTCGGGTGGGGGGGGGGGGGGGGGGGCCGGACAACAATTTCCGGGGGGGGGGGGGGGGGGAAGGACACTTTCAAAAGTATATATTTTCTATATAAATTCCATTTCGTTCGTGGGGGCGGTAGACCTTCTTCGGGGGGGGGGGGGGGGGGCGCAGTCAACATTTTCTCTCTTGAAGCTGTCATCACAATCACACCTCTCGTACGGGTAAGTGGGAGAAAAGGGAGTGTGTGGGAGAAAAGGGAATGTGTGGAAGAATGGGAGAAAAGAGAATGTTTTAGAGAAAAGGGAATGTTCGGGAGAAAAGGGAGAAAAGGGAATGTGTGGGAAAAAAGGGAATGTGTGGGAGAAAAGGGAATGTGTGGGAGGAATGTGTGGGAGAAAAGGGGAGAAAGGGAATGGGTAGGAGAAAAGGGAATATGTGGGAGAAAACCGAAGGTGTGGGAGAGAAGGGAATGTGCATGAGAAAAGGGAATGTGTATGAGACAAGGGAATGTGTGTGAGAAAAAGGAATGGGTGGGAGAAAAGGGAGTATGTGGGAGAAAAGGGAGTATGGAGTATGTGGGAGAAAAGGGAGTATGTGGGAGAAAAGGGAGTATGTGGGAGAAAAGGGAGTATGTGGGAGAAAAGGGAATGTGTGTGAGAAAAGGGAGTATGTGGGAGAAAAGGGAATGGGTGGGTAAAAAAGGATGGGTGGGATAAAAGGGTGGATGGAAGGGGTCAAGCGGAAGGATACAATCCCACCACTTCCGCCGTCCCTACCAGGACAATTTTTGCATCCTCATTAAAATGCACCGCGCTATTCTACCTGGCTGAAATGGTTCTTGATATGTTTAGCGGATGGTGTAGAGTATGACTCCATATAATTACCATGGGCTCCTAATCCCCGGGTGACATCCCCTGATCCGCCCATCCAGTGGCAGAGACCCAGGGACAATGGCCAGTCAAATCCTGCACGGAGCCAACAATCGCTTGCTTTCAGCGACCTCTAGTAACTATGAGTCTAATGGCCGCTCCAGCGTCCACCCCTCTCGCACCGGATGGCACGGTCTCTGCGACCTTTGACCTTGAGACTATTGGGTGAAATCTTGACACCCATAATTTGCAAATAGGCGGAGCCCAGGAGTTCGGCCGACGTCGGCTCGACAGATTAGATATCAGACTGAAAGCCAAACATGCTAACTAAATCGTTAAAATTTAACGACATCAAAATAACAGCCTTATAAGAGCTATCTTTTTTCTCTCAGGTGAAGATATTATCGGTTAAAATGATCTCAGTTTTAATCTGCGTGGTGCTAAAGATAAGTGCCGGGTGTGATTCGTGACAGCTGATGACAAGACAAGTGATGTGCAATCCTTGAAGAATTAGTGGCACCCAAAACCAATTACGTCCTGACAAGCTGAGACAGGATAGACGAGCTAGAATTGCCTTCTTGTGGCCATAAGCTGTGATACGTTACGGCACAAGTCACGCGAGTTGTCAGACAATTATGTCGTCAACTGATGTCAGGTTGGACATTGGACATTTATAGCTTATCACACAGGAGATTCAAAGACAAGTTCTGGACTCGTGAAGATAAAAAGTTTTAAAGTGTTACATTAAAACTATTGATTTATAGCCACAGTGGGCATATTGGACCCAGCTATCAAAACAAGGCCTAAATTAAGTGTCGGCAAAAGTTATTCACTGGCACTAGCGAAATAGTTGTGCGTGGTCTATATAAAATAGACGTCAAGACCTCTCAGGAGTGAAAAAAATCTAAAAAAAAGTCTAAAAAAAAATTAAATAAAGTCATCGATAAAATAAATACTTTGCTACTTCAGCTATTATAGGCCAGGCGCTCACTAGCCTTTACAACCATTTCAAATTACGTCAAGCTTAAAGTTTTTGCCATAGTTAAGAAAAAGCCCCCCCCCCCCCACCCCCATGCGGGAATAAGTAGGGCATTTGCTCTGCATGACTGTGTTCTAATAAATTATCTACAAAACTGTGTTCCAATCATTTATCTACAGGACTATAAACTATGTTCTAAATCTATTATCTTCAGGACTGTGTTCTAATAAATTATCTACAAAACTGTGTTCCAATCATTTATCTACAGGACTATGAACTATGTTCTAAATCTATTATCTTCAGGACTGTGTTCTAATAAATTATCTAAAGAATGGAGTTGCACTCAATTACTCTGGCCTCCAGTAAAAGTATAAAAACGGACGTACCTTTCTACCAGCCCTGTTGTTGTGAAGGTTCATGAAAGAGCGAGCATTCTTGGCAATCTCTCTGGCATCCATGAACTTCCTGGCCAGCTGGGTGCCGTAGTTTATGTCCGAGCTACAGCCGCCCCACTTCCAGCCATCTGACGTCATCTCGCCTTCCTTCTTGGTCGAGTCACAGCTACACGTTGATAAGTTGCCGATACTGCAGGCTTGGGTGATGGCGTAGGTGACCCCAGCCGAGGTCATGGCGTAGATATACGCCGCCTCTTTGTGACCTGGAAAAATGTAAAAACAAAATGGTTTGATGTGACTATACGATGAATTGTTTTAAATAATTGTCATAGTGGTGGTACAAAAAGATGTGACTGGATCAGCTAGATAGTTGGACAACTATAGCAATCGATTAACCCAAAAGTCAAAATTGGTTTACAATGAGCGTTATAATTTTCTCCTGTCTTTGAAAATTACCCCCAAACAAATTACGGAATCAGCTATTACACAGTAGATTTCCATCACGGTGAAATGCTTCCTGTAACACAATACTCTACCCATCCATCATACAGTACTTTACCCATCCATCATACAGTACTTTACCCATCCATCACACAGTACTTTACCCATCCATCACAGAGTACTTTACCCATCCATCATACAGTACATTACCCATCCATCACACAGTACTTTACCCATCCATCATACAGTACTTTACCCATCCATCATACAGTACTTTACCCATCCATCATAGAGTACTTTACCCATACATCACACAGTACTTTACCCATCCATCACACAGTACTTTACCCATCCATCACACAGTACTTTACCCATCCATCACACAGTACTTCACCCATCCATCATAGAGTACTTTACCCATACATCACACAGTACTTTACCCATCCATCACACAGTACTTTACCCATCCATCATACAGTACTTTACCCATCCATCATAGAGTACTTTACCCATCCATCACACAGTACTTTACCCATCCATCACACAGTACTTTACCCATCCATCATACAGTACTTTACCCATCCATCACACAGTACTTTACCCGTCCATCACACAGTACTTTACCCATCCATCACACAGTACTTTACCCATCCATCACAAGAGTACTTTACCCATCCATCACTGAGTACTTTACCCATCCATCACACAGTACTTTACCCATCCATCACACAGTACTTTACCCGTCCATCACACAGTACTTTACCCATCCATCACACAGTACTTTACCCATCCATCACACAGTACTTTACCCGTCCATCACACAGTACTTTACCCATCCATCACACAGTACTTTACCCATCCATCACAAGAGTACTTTACCCATCCATCACAAGAGTACTTTACCCATCCATCACACAGTACTTTACCCATCCATCACACAGTACTTTACCCGTCCATCACACAGTACTTTACCCATCCATCACACAGTACTTTACCCATCCATCACAAGAGTACTTTACCCATCCATCACACAGTACTTTACTCATCCATCACACAGTACTTTACCCATCCATCATACAGTACTTTACCCATCCATCATACAGTACTTTACCCATCCATCATACAGTACTTTACCCATCCATCACAAGAGTACTTTACCCATCCATCACACAGTACTTTACCCATCCATCACACAGTACTTTACCCACCCATCACACAGTACTTTACCCATCCATCACGGAATACTTTACCCATCCATCACGGAATACTTTACCCATCCAACACACAGTATTTCACCCATCCATCATACAGTAATTTAGCTCCACTTAGTAATAGATGAAGTGTCACAAAGACAAAAAACACATAGGCCTACACCTTAGAAAATAGTCATAAAGATTAAAAAAAAAGATCTAGGCCTACATCAACGGAAGAATAGTCACAAACGTAAAAAGATTTTTAGCAGTAGAAATATTATGACATTTACACAAAGATCTACACCAAATGAAATATTGTGACAGAAATTATTTACGCTCTTTACGCTTCCCTATGTATTACAAAAAAACGCGACATCGGAAACCGAAAAGGTTGAACCGACAGAAAGAAAATCTCGCGTCCTATCTGCGCCAGCCAGCAGTGACTATTGCCCTTGTCAGGGCCACATAAAGGCCCCATCCGCTGGAAGGCCGGGATATAAACCAATATTTTCGTTCGGCCGTCAGAGAGCACCAGAGACCAAGTCAAGCGGGACAACTCAATGTGGCCTACACCGGCTCCTAGAGAGAGGGCCAATAAAACTGGACCACTTTATGTTTGGGACATACTAGGGGGTGGCCTTTTCAAACGTCGACAGGGAATGTTTGCTACACAGTCCTAGTCAGGCCATTCTTTTCAATTTACATTTTTTACAAGTCATTGAAACCCAGAATATAGTCAACTTTGGCTAACTGACACAACCAACCATACGTTGGGAAATGATGACAAACAAGAAACGCCGCAATAAACACGGCAATTAAGCTAATCTAAACGATAGCTAAAGAACACACCTGAAGCCTGGTTAAACAACACATCAGACATTTATATGCCTGTTAAACAACACATCAGATATTTATATACCTGTTAAACAACACATCAGATATTTATATGCCTGTTAAACAACACATCAGATATTTATATGCCAGTTAAACAACACATCAGATATTTATATGCCAGTTAAACAACACATCAGATATTTATATGCCAGTTAAACAACACATCAGATATTTATATGCCTGTTAAACAACACATCAGATATTTATATGCCTGTTAAACTAAACTGCTTACCAGATACGTATATTTAAATTACTGTTGAACTATACACCAGATATTTAGATGGCTGTTTTAACTATACATCAGCTATATATGACTGCTTAACTACGCACTATACAAATTTCATTTTTTTTTAAAAACGAAATAAATATAGATCTAAATCCGTGTTAAAACTGTTAATACCTTCCTAGCTCACTATAGCATTCATTTTTCTTAAATTTTCTTTTTTTCTCAAAACGTAATGGACACTAAAACTAAAATAAATTTTTACGACAATTTATTCAAAGAAACATATTTCTTAACATAAAACTTGGTAAGAAATTGAATAAACTTTAAACATAAACTAAACAGAATCGATACCACGTTAAGAATCGATCTCCAGCATGTCTCATCAACCATCCTACCCCTCTCCCGTCCATTAAACGATCGTAAAACCGACGAAGGTCCGGGGGTCTGTGTTGTAGATGTGGACTAGCAGGCGGGACCGCGGGAACTCCGTGATGCGTTCATCTTTTAACGCTACTTACTCGAGCGTTCACCTGTTTCCCAGACTGATGCGTTTGAAGGGATCCGTTAAATAGACCACCATGTCATAAATTTCATGAACACCGCTCGTTAAATTCCTAAACGTTAAATTTCTTAACGTTAAACTCTTCAATGTAAGGTGTACCTGGAAATGTGAGTTGACCTCAACAGTCCCAGGTGATGGGATGGTGCTGGGATGGTGATGGGATGGTGATGGGATGGTGATGGGATGGTGCTGGGATGGTGATGGGATGGTGATGGGATGGTGCTGGGCTAGGGTGGCTTGTCGGAACCCGGCCACCCCTACAAACAGCAGGGTTGGTTATTGGTGACACACTGTACACAGCAAGCTACTGATATCACACTGTACATTATAGGTTACTGGTGATACACTGTATAATGCAAGTTATTGGTGACATACTGTACAGGGTAAGTTACTGGTGACACACCGTACACAGTAAGTTACTGGTGACACACTGCATAATTTAAGTTACTAGTGACACACCGTACAGAGCAATACATTGGTAGGTGACATACTGTACAGGGTAAGTTATTGGTGTCATACTGTAGTTATTGGTGACATACTGTAGTTATTGGTGACATACTGTAGTTATTGGTGACATACTGTAGTTATTGGTGACATACTGTACAGGGCAAGCTAGTGGTGAACTATTGTACAGGTTAAGTAACCTGGTAACATGTATTTGTTTCATGTCACTTTAATGATCAGTCTCTGGTTGGAGAAGGACATTGCCAGCAACGATATCAATAGAGTTAAGGTATCAACAAATTAGGCAACGATATCAATAGAGTTAAGGTATCAACAAATTAGGCAACGATATCAATATAGTTAAGGTATCAACAAATTAGGCAACGATATTAATAGAGTTACGGTATCAACAAATTAGGCAACGATATCAATAGAGTTAAGGTATCAACAAATTAGGCAACGATATCAATAGAGTTAAGGTATGAACAACGATATCAATAGTGTTAAGGGCATCAGGACATTACCAGCAACGATATCAATATAGATTAAGATATCAGACTAACGTTTGTAGGGTTCGCCGTTTTGGTTTTGGAGAGGTAGTATTGGAGAAGGAAGAAAAGCCATAAGCGAATCCAATTTTTTTTAGGTCGTCCCAAATCGTAACGAATTTTACAGTCAATAACTACATTTTTTTTTATAACAAGTAGGCCTACTTAGGATCTTTTGGTTTTGGTTTTCAACTCAGAAGCCTGATTGATAGATTTAGCATTCTGTAACGTCAAATGTAGACAATTACCTGCATCTAAATCACGCCATCATGAAGTTATACATGAACATCAGGAGGAAACTAGTGATGTCGTGTAGACATTCAGACAAAATCTGGGAGAATAAACAGGGTCGTAAAAATAATTTCTCCCCGATTCTTCTTTTAATTAAGTCGCACCATCCCAGCAATTAAAAAATTGTTTGCCCTACAAATCATTCAAAAATTACCTCCCTTTCTCAAGCTGTTCACGTATTTATCTTCTCTTTATAGAGTCATATTTTTCGTATTATGATCCTAACACCCTTCACACAAGCTTTTAACCTAGCGTGCGCGCCTTACCTTTTGTCTAGTGTACACTGGCTCAATGCCGTCGTTCGCCTCTACCCCTGCCCAATTCTTCCCGGCGGTTTTATCGAGATTGTTTCCCCTTTTTACCTGAATATTTGTGCCCACACGGCGGGCCCGGGGGTGACAAAGGTCGGAGAAGGGAGAGGGGGGGGCAGCCAGGCAGTAGGGACGTGGCCCGCATGTCTCCGGTGTTCGACTCAATATTCCTATCATCTTCGTGCTTGGGTGCCCCGCTTGTACGCATCTAACAAGTCATTCAGGTCTCAGCTGATTCATGGACGCCTTCCCTCCACTGCACATTAAGGAACACAGAGAACATTTGGGACAAACAGTGAAAAAATTCTTTCATTTTTCCACACGGCGTCCACGTATTAGCTGTGG